CCCTGTGCGTCTCCTCCCCCCCGTCTTCTTCTCCCGCATCCCTCGCCGCGGTGCTCCTTCCCCCCCGGCCCGCGCGGGGCTCTGCCAGGTGCTGGGCTCCACGGCGGGCACGCAGGCACGTCCGCGGGGGCATTGCCACGAGCGCCTGCCTTATCTCCAAGACCGTAGCTGTCTTTGCTCTCCCTGCTTGCTGCTTACGTGGCTTTCTTCCGCGTGTCCTGCAAGGGGAAGGAATCTGGGCTTGATAAAGCCTGTTGTAGCTTATAGGAGGCAAGCTCAAACATTTCCAAACTTGCTTTGCATTAAAAAAAAAAAAAAAAGCGTGTTGTTTACTTGCTGCTCCTGCCTCTGCTCCGAAGATCAGGCTGGCAGCGGGAGAGCCCGCGCCGCCAGACTGCCCGTGGTTGAGGTGCAGAGGAGGGCACAGGTCCGAGGCAGGAGCTCGGTCCTATTGCTGGGCCAGGGCTTGCAGCTGGGGCCTAGGCGAATCCCCCCGATTCTTGCATGGGTTGTTCGTCCCAGCTGGCTTCTTGCAAGGCCAGGGAGGTGCTGCAGTCCCTGCCGTAGCCTTATTGCAGGGTGGAGGTGAAGGGAAAACCCAGTGTTAGCACATCGAGGTCTTATAATTCCTGTGAGAAGCAATGAGGGCCCAAAAGTATTGGACATGTCTCACAAGGAAACTGTGGAAAACCAGAGGCAGAGTAATATATTTTAAAACAAAACCTTCCCCTTCTCCACCGCTTTCTGATGACTTTTTTCCTGCAATGGTCTATCACTCCTGTGCTTCGGAGCAGCAGCTCGGACCATGGCTGCAAGGTGGCTTTTGCTGGGGACCTGCCTGTTCCCAGTCCTGTAACAGGCCGTTGCCATCTGGCCTGTGCACACAGGAGAGCTCCCTGCCATTCGCAGCCCGGTCTCCCGCGTGGCCCTGGGCGGCAGCTTCCTTTGCCTGTGGTCCTTCTGTGCCCGGATCATGCCTGAAATCGGCCTCTTGTGCTCTTGATGCTATTTCTGGTGCTCAAGAGCCCCAAGGGAGGAAACAACTTTAATCCCAGCCCTGTGGGCACAGGGACTGAGATGGCCTTTTGTGACACGAGTGCGTACATGCTTGCATCCGCGGTGTGCCTGGGTGAGGCTGGGCGGTGGGCGCTCAGCGCCGGGGTCGGGTGGCACTGGCCGATGCTGCCAAGAGCGTGGGCAAGGGGCCGAGGCTCCAAGAGCTGGCGGGTGCCTGGTGCTCGGGGCGCCGGGGGACGCTGAGCAGTGCCTGCGGTGCTGTAGGGGCGCCTGGCCCAGAGGATCAGGCGTGTTGGGGCTGGCGGGACAAGCCTTTGCCTTGCCCTGAGCCTTGCCTCCCTATTTTCCATGGATGGTCCCTTCAGCAACACGGGCCTGGGAGCCCTGGGAAAATATTGGGCTGGGCAGTGTGCTCCGAACTCATACGGCTGGTCTCACTCAGCCCTGAACTAGCAGAGTACTTCTTAAAAACTTTAATTTCACCATGAGTATGGGGAGATTACTGGCCTTCACTGATGCTAAACGTCAGTGGAGAGACAGGCCCCTCCAGAGAAGTCCCCAGGAAGAGGCTAGTTCAGGCCCCAACAAGGGAAAAAACCCGCCACCAACCAGCCAGAAGAAAGCAGATTAACGAACACTGCTTGCTAGCATCCTTTTGCCCTCTTCCCTGCAAGAGGCAGCGAAGGAGTAAGCAGCCCTCGCCTGGAAAGCTCCAGTCTGGCCACCTCTCTGCCCAGCTGGGCCCTCGGGCCCTGGCTGGGCACGGCTTATTTGGCACAACAGCTTATCCTCATGGCTGCTCTGTTTTTAACTCCTTCCAGGAGGAAGATCCGGACTCAGAAACCGAGAAGCTGGTGGTGAAAGAGCCGGAGGATGAGGATGGTGAGTGGTGGGCAAAACAGCAGCTTGAGGGGAGGATGCAGCCGGGTCTGAGGGGCAAAAGCCCCCAAGTGTTTGGAGATGGTCTCCTTCCTCCAGGCAATGCAGAGGAGGGGGACCAAGGTCCCAAAATTAAAGGGAAATACAGGGAGAAGCAAACCCCTGGGGCCCTTGCAAGCAACCGGAGGGTACACTTCTCTCCCCGCTGGTGGCAGAGCCCAGCAGAAGTGAGAGGGGGCGCAGGGCAGGAAAACTGCTGCTGTTTTAATTCCCCAGCTGCCAGAGCTGGCAAGGAGAGAGCAAAGGGAGGCCAGGCACGAGGAACACCTTGCCTCGTGGCGCGTTCCCTGCGGGCCGGGTGGTGGGCTCCAGCCCTGCCCCGGGGAGCTGTAGTGAGGCTGTCACCATCTGTACGCACAAGCCCCCAGACAGGAAAGCCTGGGAGCTGCTCAGTCCAGCACCGGGAGGAGAAACAGCCTGCG